GTTGATGTCCGTAAGGATCTGTACGGCAACATTGTCATGGTAAGAAAAGCCTTTGGAACAACACTTGGCGAAACCCCCCACTAATATATCCCTCTCTTTAGTCTGGTGGTACCACCATGTACCCCGGTATCTCCGACCGTATGCAGAAGGAGATCACTGCTCTTGCTCCTTCTTCCATGAAGGTCAAGATCATCGCTCCCCCCGAGCGCAAGTACTCCGTCTGGATCGGTGGATCCATCCTGGCCTCCCTGTCCACCTTCCAGCAGATGTGGATCTCCAAGCAGGAGTACGACGAGAGCGGTCCTTCCATCGTTCACCGCAAGTGCTTCTAAGCTTCTTGCTGCACTTTACTACTCGTATTCGCTCGTACTTTCCTGGTGTATCAAAAAGCAGGATGGAGGCACTGGTGGATTGCAAGCGTTGTTGGACTCGCATTATCAAGCGGATAGCCTGAAAATGGAATCTCGATTTTAGTGGAATAGAGTCGGTCGTTTTCTTTTTGTTACTCTTTACCTTACTCTTTACCTCGATCTCTCTATCCATCCATCTCTGCTTTGAGACATTTTACCTTTCTTCATTTTTTTTTTTTTTTTTTTTCCTCTTTCAAATTTGCTGTCCCGTCCGCCTCTCTGATTGTGTTGCCTGGACGGGTTGATAGCGCTGCGCAGACAATGCTGTACCTGTAGGGCAATGATGTATATGGAGTTGGTTATTAGGGATCAGACTGCGTTTTTTTTTTTTCGAGACGCCTAAGACTTCTGTCTTTGTTCTAGTCCCTTGTCTTGTCTTTAAAACCAAATTGCCCGACTTTGTCCGTAGTTTTAACGTGACTTTGACTGAAATCTTCCACTGGTTTCTTGTATTCTCCTAGAAACGCTGTCGACGAATTTAACGCCTGTGGAATTGTAGTGTCTTCTATGAATTACTAGTTTCAAGAACCTCATTTCCTTAACCTTTTTATACTGGATCTTGACCATGACCGATATACATTCAGTCATTCTATATAGATCTGCTAGGAACGGCTTGTTCCTTCTTCACACGATGGGCCTCATCGGCGATGGATGGCATCGGTGAATGTCTGCTGTGTAACCACCTCCCCTAACTGAGTAGAAGTAGAGAAGTCCTGCCATAGACGACGATGAGAAGGCGGGAAGGGATAGTAATGGGAAGTTGGAGGGAGGTGTCCGGGTTTATATAGTAGGAGAAAAACCAAGGTTGGAAGAATCAGAGTATCGGCTCAGCAGTACAGCAGTACAGCGCACATCCAGTATGTAAGGTAGATCAATGGAATTCTTCCTAGTATGTATAAATTCGTGCATCATGTAGGAAAATCGGCGTTAGTTCAGGACAAATTCAAAGGGCCTATATTATTATAGGCAGCCCCAGACAGAGAAGAAAGACGGGGAATACGAAGAACCAGAAAAAAAAATAAACAGTAAACAAAAAAGAAAATATCTATAAGATAGATAACCCAGGCAAATCATTTTCTCCATCCATATATAAAGCATCATGCATCAAATCAACATCACAATCAATATCAATATCAATATCAAATCTTAACGTCAATACGTCAATATCGTAGATATTACGCAGACCAAGACTCAAGTCCAGACAGCACACAACCCTCTTCACCCTCGGCGCGAGCACGCAGCTCACCAACGCGGTAAACAGACTCACCAGCAGCCTCGAAGGTCTGACGGATAGCAGCCTCGGAGGCAGGGTCGACGGCAATGATCATACCAACACCACAGTTGAAGGCACGAGCCATCTCAACAGAGGAGACGTTACCGGCACGCTGGAGCCAAGTGAAGACGGAAGGCTGGGCCCAGGTGCTAACGTCAACCTGAGCAGTGAGGGCATTGGGAAGCATGCGGGGGATGTTCTCAGTGAGACCACCGCCGGTGATGTGGGCAAGACCCTTAATGGCAGAGCCGTGGGCGTTCAGTGCGCTGAGGATGGACTTGACGTAGATACGGGTAGGGGTGAGGAGGGCACGGCCGACGGAGACGCCGGCGTCGAGACCAGGCATGGAGAAAGGTGCGGTATCGGTGTAGCTCAGACCAGCACGCTCGACGATCTTCCGGACGAGAGAGTAGCCGTTGGAGTGGGGGCCGGAGGAGGCGAGGGCGAGAAGGACATCGCCAGAGCGCATGTTTTCTGTGTGCGGGAGGATGGCACGAGCGTTGTCGCCTGTGGTGTTGATAGCGCCGACGGCGGCACCGACGGCGTCGTACGAGTCGTCAACAAAGAGGCCCGGCATCTCGGCGGTCTCACCGCCGATCAGAGCGCAACCGGCTTGGACACAGCCCTCGGCAACACCGGTGACGAAAGCCGCAGCGGTGGGAACGTCGAGGTGACCGCAGGAGTAGCAGTCCAGGAAGAAGAGAGGCTCAGCACCTTGGACAACGAGATCGTTGACGTTCATGGCGACGAGATCAATACCGACGGTATCGTGGATGCCAATGGAGTGGGCGATCTTGAGCTTGGTGCCGACTCCGTCGATGGCTCCGATTAGGGTTGGCGAGTGGGGGTGGTAGGCGGAGTTGGCAGCGGGCAGAGAGAAGAGACCACCGAAGCCACCGATGACGGCGTCAGTGCCGGGGCGCTTGGTGCGGCGGACGGAGCTCTTGATCTGGTTGACAAGCTCGTTGCCAGCGTCGATGGAGACACCGGCCTGGGCGTAAGTGAGCGAGGTGTCAGCGGTCTGGCGGAACGCGCGGTGGGCAATGTCCTTGCGGTAGAACATGTCCTCAAAGCTGATGGTCTTGATACCCTCGTAACTCTTAGCAACGGCCTCCTCAAGGGTTGGGGCGGTGGCCGTGGAGGCAATCACACGGCCTCCAGAGGTCTGCAACTCGTTGCCAGCCAGAGTTGTACCAGCGTGGAAAATGAGGGTTCCAGCAGGCGCGGGGGCCAGAGTGATGGCCTTGCCCTTCGCGTAAGCGTTGGGGTAGCCGCCAGCAACAGCAATGACGGTGGTGGAGAAGTTGGGCTCGATCTTGATTGAGACACCGTCCAGCCAGTGGTCAGCACAGGCCACCATGATCTGTGCGAGATCGGTGTCCTTGCTGAGCAGGGGCAGCAGAGTTTGGGTCTCTGGGTCTCCACCGCGGACGTTGTATTCAAGGACCTTAGGTCCGTTCTTGGTCATCATGAGACCGGTGAACAAGATACCAACGAAGGGGAAACCTAGACAGGATTAGCAACATGCTTTGGAGGATGCATCTCTTAATCAAACATACCATCCTTTCGCATTCCGTCAACGGAAGGCTGAATAATGGTGCGGTCAATCTCATCGACAATCTCCTTCGGCGCAATGCGCGTAGGCGCATAGCAGCCCATGCCACCAGTGTTGGGGCCCTGGTCTCCATCGAAGATGCGCTTGTGGTCCTGCGCCGGAGGAAGCGAGCGAATAGTATAACCATCACTGAAAGTAAGGATACTCAGCTCATCACCCTCCAAGCACTCCTCGATCACGACCTCGTTACCAGCCTGGCCGAACTGGTGGTCCACCATCATTTCCTTCAAGGCTTTGTGGGCCTCCTCCTTGGTAGTGGGCATGATCACACCCTTACCACCAGCCAGACCATCAGCCTTGATCACCACATTGTGCGACACAGAGTCGAGGTAGCGACTTGCGGACTCGTAGTCAGAGAAGTTTCCGAATTCGGCGGTGGGGATCTGGTGACGCTGCATGAAGTCCTTGGAGAAGGTCTTGGAGCCCTCCATGCGGGCAGCGGCCTTGGAGGGACCGAAGCATCGAATGCCAACTGTTTTTAAATACCATTGTTAGAATAATTCAACGCAATTGGTATAAAGAAAGGCCAGAAAAAAAAAAAAAACAGCCAAGAAAAAAAAAAAAAAGTGGCATGCGTGACTCACCAGCCTGGAAATAACCCTGGATGCCATCAACGAGAGGTGCCTCGGGGCCTGGCACCACAAGGTTCACCTGGTTCTTCTGTGCGAAAGCCACGAGGCCAGGGTAGTCATCACCCTTGACATTGGCATTGGTGATCTTGCTGTTGGTACCCAGGCCTGTGCCACCGTTTCCGGGAGCGACATACACAATGTCGACCAGAGGGGACTCGCTCAGCTTCCAGGCGTAGGCATGCTCACGGCCACCATTGCCGACAACGAGGATGCGCAATTGTTCGGAGGCCATGGTTGGAGAAGCGTCTCGACTATGTTGATGTTAGCAATTAGTATATAGAAAACCTCCGCGGGGTATGTAGTGCCCCTCCTTCAAGGAAAGCAAGTCGTAGAGCAATGAAATGGGGGTAAAACAATTTGGGAAAGACTTGAGGATAAGAAAATCAACAGATTACTTACCTCACAGAGACCTGAGAAGCAACTTCCAAGGTTGTATTTGGGAAGGGAATGGGAGACTTGAAGATGTTGAACTTTCCAACTTTTTTTCTGCCTCCGGCTGGGTGTTTCTCCGACCCCAGAATTTCCTGCGATCTCGGCGAAGGCAAAATATTTGATTTACTTCTTTTACTTCGAATTAAAAGGTGAATTTGAATGGATTGAAACGGATTTCAGTGGATTTAAACCGATTTGACAGGTTAAGATTGATTTTATATCTCTTATATTATGAATTATCGTACTAAATCTAGATAAGACTCATAGGAGTAGTTATAAGATTCTATACATCTTGTACAATGGAAGTCTAAGAAACATATAAATTTGATAGTCGCTTTATAGCAATACTACTGAGCACACTTGTGCTCCATTGATATATTCGATAAATACATAAAAAGAAGAGTCCTACTGTCATTTCATCTCTCCAATATCAGATATTGCCACCTCAGGCATCAAGCCACCCAGATAAGAAAGCGGTGACCCCAAACTTCCGGCAGAAGAAAAAACCGGAGAGGCAATTCGCCCGGTGGCTTATTGACGGCTTTTCTTGAATTCTCGAATTCTTCATTCCAGCTACTTTTAGGGGGGATTTCTACATTTATACCCTTTCCCAAATTATCCGTTGACAGTTCACCTGAATGCTTCGGACCTCTTTGCGGTCTGTGTCAGGCCCTTCAAGCCGACATGTTCGTCTCTCCTGTCTAACGCGCCCTCGCGCGCCCAGTTTGCGCCAATTCCACCGCATATCTGCACTCCGTACCGATTCAGTCGAAACCAAGCTGGACACCAATTCATTTGACGGGTCGACCGAACGTTCAGTGCCGTTGCCGGCCAATGTATGTTCTCCATTCTAAAGTACGCAAAAACAAAACAAATCCTAACAGAGTGTGTGTGCTATAGGATCAGATTCCAGAGACAATAGATGTCGCCTCTGACAACTCCCATAAACCCCAGCATGTGGAAGAACAGGGAGAACTTACTGCTTCCATGTGGGCTGGGATGAAGTCAAGACAAAAATATAACTACAAAAAACAACATCCCTTGCTCTACAGCAAGTTCAAGATGGAAGTGTTAAACAAAGACATTGCACCCTCCCAAGCAGCACAATCAGAGGGACTACCATCGGAAGCCGCCCCGTCGGAGGAAGCCCCATCAGAGGGAGCCCCATCAGAGGCAGCGCGGGTGGAAGCGGAAAAAATCAGGGCCTTGCAACAAAAGATGATTGAAGCGGATATGGAAGCCAAACGGGAAAGAAAGGCTAGGTTGTTGAAGAAAAAGGAGAAAGAAAGTCAACCCGAAGCCGAGATTTCAACAGACGGCCCATCAGAGCCATCATTCAGTGAACCCAAGGAGAGCACCGATGTGGTGGGTGAAAGTCAAAATGAGCCAGAGAAGACGAAGGAGAGGGAAATCCTCTATTTTATGAGAAACCATATCATCTCCAAGGAGCGTGGGTCTCTTTCCTCAAAGGACCAGCAATTGACCGTAAAAGGTGAGTTTTGAGCTCTGACACAACCGTTCAATGTGAGCTAATCCTCCACTCAAGAGTTGCCTATCCCCCTGCCTCCTGTCCCACGCGTTGCCTTTGGTCTCGACCGAGTGCTTTTCAAGTGAGTTGTTGAGTCTTCCCTATCACTGATCGATATACTAAGACCAGACAGTCCCGGTGTCTACCAGCTACGTGACCCTCGGTCTCTTGTCTACAATTTCGACCCGTACCTAGACCAGATCATGCCCGTGACGGAATTTGACTTTAATGCCTTGAAGCCGTATGTCACCTCTTCTCAAGATGTGACGGCTTGCGAATTGACCGAGAAGAACCGAAAGAAGTACTACGGCTCATCGTCTAGCATGACTTCGGTTCTCGCACATTTCCATTATCTTCTGTCCGCGTGGCGGCCTGTCGACGTTAGCAAAATTTCTCGAGGGTTTGACGACCCTCTGCGGACCTTCACCCGTCTCCTTCGAGCACCCAGTGCCATGTTCCTCCGTTATAAGGAAAAGGAGGATATTTATGCCATTGATGCCGACAAGGAATACGACTACGCTAATATTCTCCTGAACCTGGGCAAGTCAATGGAGAAGCAACTCACGATGCCCAAAGAACAGTTTGAGCGCTACCGCCGCAGTGATCCAAACAAGATCACCCCCGAGGAAGAAGCAGCCACCCCGGAGTCATACCACTACAGCACCGCAGGTAAATTCCTCATGCGATCTCAACTCGACGCCTACGATCCTAGACTGCCAGGTACCGGCATGTTCGACTTGAAAACACGTGCAGTGGTTTCGATCCGCATGGAAGCCACCGAGCACGAGCGCGGAATGGGTTACGAGATCAGACGCCGCTATGGCAAGTGGGAGTCCTTTGAACGCGAATACTTCGACATGATCCGCGCCGCCTTCCTCAAGTATTCCCTGCAGGCTCGCATTGGCCGCATGGACGGTGTCTTTGTCGCGTACCACAATATCGAGCGCATCTTCGGTTTCCAATACATCCCTCTTGACGAGATGGATCAGGCTTTGCACGGCTCGTCCAACACCACACTCGGAAACAAAGAATTCGAACTGAGTCTCGCTATGTGGGAGAAGGTCCTCGACAAGGCAACACGGAAATATCCCAAGAAATCTCTACGTTTCCACTTCGAGACCCGCGAACCTACCCGCGAAACTACCATACCCTACATGACCATCGTCGCGCAACCCGTCACGGATGAGGAAATCGAGGCCATCCAGACAAAGAACAAAGCCCACACCGATGCCATCCAAGACCGTCTTCTCAACCCGGAGCAATTCGCCGACAGGTCCCCGGAGGCAGCTGTGGCAGGCTCAGAGGAAGAGATGTCTGGAGAGTTCGACGACGAGGAAGCGGACGTCGAATCCCTCTATCGAGAGGAGGAGGAGCCCGAACCCGAAGCCGAATATTCAATCGATAGCGAATTCCGCCATGAAGATGGTGAGCTAGCCGAAGCCGAAGCCGTCAACCTCAACGCACAGAACGATCCCCCTTCAACTCTTTGGTCGACACACTCTTCCCCGAAGAGGAAGGCGAGGAAGTATCCGAAGCCGAAAAGTCCGAATACCCCTCGTTCGAACCCGAGCAGACCGCGGAGCCGATCGATCCCACCAAGTTCGTACCGAAGCGCGATCCCTTCCAAGAGGACAAAGTCGACGAGGACGTGCTCGGGATGATGCTCGTTGTACACAACAAGGTGAACGGTGAAGCGGTGCAGCGGCCGACGTGGTTCACCGGGAACGACAAGTGGGAGCTTGAATACGAGCTCAACGAGCTTGATCTGAAAGAGAGCAATGAAGCTCTGCGGACGTGCAAGAGGCGTCGTAGTCAGGCATTGAGAAAGAGCGTGACGGATCATGAGGCTAGTTACTTCCGCACTCTGGCAAGAGTGACCCACAAAGGACGTACTTGGCGGAAGAAGATGGATGAGAAGGACCGTGAGCGTGGACTTCTTGTTTATAAGGATGCTTGTGACATGTGAGGGAGGGTCTTACTAGGTAGGTCCTCTGATTTATATGGGAGGAGGAATTGGGGGAAGTGGAGAGAGGAATCTCCAATCTCCGTTTTGTAAAGTATTAGATTAATTCCTCTTCCATTGTACTTTATTTTGAGCTATACATTCATGGCGTTGGTTTTTACATAGTTAGACTGAAATGCGTTTTGGTTGGATGTTTGGGTGTTCTCGTTCGTTATGTACAACGATGAGCTGGGATCTGGCATATACATATAGGGGATCATATTATATATATTGACTCTTTGACCTTTCCATTCTTTTTGTCATGGAGCTCAAGTAAAACTTCGGGCGACGAGGACTTTGGTATAGATGCATCTAGCTGACAGCGAGCGCGAGAGCGTATGTTATCATGCAAATCCCTTGACAAGATACGCCTACGCCAACTACTCAGTCTTACCGGAGACCAGAAAACCAAACAGAAAGGAAGAATGGTATTCAATGCCTATCCAAACAGTATTCAATCCCCCAGAGCAAGGAACAAGGAACAAGGAACAAGAAACTAGCGAAAGGCAAAAATACCACCGCAATAAATATCAGACAGCCCAAAGCCCCAATAAACATTAGCCACGGATGCACACACGAGCGCCATTAACCCGCAAAACGAGGACATTTTCCAAGAGTAATAGAGCAAAGAAAAGACGAATAGACCAAGCGGTAAAACGGATAGGAGGATATTGATTGGAGGATATCGATTGCGTTGGGAAGAGATATTGGCATGGAAATTGGAAATTGAAGATGAGTAAGTATTGAACGCCGGGAGAATGCGGTGGCTCTGGTAAAAAGAAATTGGAACGCCAGGGTATCAGAGCCGACTGGCCGGTTTCGAGAAATGGGAATTGGTTGGGAGGTTGGGTGGTTGATGAGTTATGAGTAAGATAAATAAGATTCACAGGGAGAAAGAGAATAAAAATAAAAATAAGAAGGGTATGCAATCACAACCTGGTTCGTCGTATATATGTACTGCGAGGGCCAGGCTTCGTTCCGTGTTGGGGTGAGGTGTGGAGGATGCTGTACAAGGTAGAAGAGGGGGTATATTTTGATAGGTTTATGGAGGACGAGGAAGGCTACTGGAGCCCTCCCAAGTCAAGCTTGGGTGGTGTCCAGTCTAGCTGGGGCGGCTTGTCGCCGTTGACGCACACAGGCGAGGGGCGCGCTGCATCGGCACGGCGACGTTCCCTCAACGCGGTGCCACTGAGGAAGCCTCTTAGGGTAGATGAGGCAACGCCGTAGGCGCTTCGCGTACTGCCTGCGCCTATTGAGGCGTTGCTGGAAGAACTGCGTGCACTGCGTGCACTGCGGACGCTCTCTGCTTTTCCAACAGCTGGGGGAACAGCTGGGACCGGGAGAGCTAGGTGAGAGGCTTGGCTTGAAGAACCGTGACTGGATGGAACGAATTGTGCAGGGGCCGCGGTATGAGGGCGGCGGCTATTGGATGGAATGCGTTTTGGTTGGACGGCGGTGGTCTCGATGTTGGACGAAGACTGGGATGGGGTGTTGGATGCCTCTGAAAGTCTGATGACAGCAGGAGACTCGTCTGGTGGCGAGGACCGGATCTCATCTGCAGACACGGACACATCGAATTTGAGATTGTCAAGCATCGTACCCAAGCTCGCTGCTGTTCGGGGTCGTTCATCGCTGGTAGCATCGTCATCAATTTCCTCGATCCCATGGGCAATGTTGTAGTTGCGGAGGAGGTATCGATTGAGCCGGGAGACTTCCGTGTCCCATCTCTCGTTCAGAGACCGCAAGACCAGTTCAACGTTGTGATTGGCGAATGGAGAGTTTTCCAAGGCCGAAGCGACACTAGGCGGAGGTGTTTTGCTCAGTTTGTGCCCTTGCCCACTTTGACCAACGCTCATCGCTGCATACAGAGAGCGACGGACCGAGTTTCCCGTGGAAGACTGGTGGCTGTTGCTAGATTCCCATCGAACATTATCAACCTCCCGGCGCACTCTGTCCAGTGACAAGACTCGATCTCGGTCCATGCAGGAGAGAGTGAGAAGAGAGCGGTTGCACCGAAGGCCGTTGACCAACACCGTAAAGGACTGCAGATTGATATCATTGTTCTCACAGTGTACTTCACGCAGCGAATCATTCTCTTCTAAGACCGAGGCAAGTGTGTTGGCACCTTGAAGACCAAGTTTCTGGTGCTCAATTCTCAGGACCTTTAGAGAAGTGTTTTTCTTCAGACCAGTCAATGCAAGATTAAGACCAATGCCGAAGCGTGCAACATCAAGGTGCGCATTATCGCCGCTAATGTCCAAAGCTTCAAGAGTCTCATTATCCTCGAGCATCACCTGCAACGAGCGACAAGTCTCAGGACCAGCATCGTATGGGAGGGAAGCCTTCGAGATATCCAGGAACTTGAGGGTGCTGTTCTTCCGAAGAGAATCCACCAGCTCACGGAAATGGTCTTCTTTCTTGAAATCAATCATGCGCATCGACAGATGTGAAGGGGTCTGGTTCTTTGCAATAGCGCTGAAAACGTGAGAGCAGCCGTTGTCAATGCGGTTCTCATTGACATGCAGATGGAGACTGCGCGGGGAATCAGGCCCAACGGACATCGAGTGCATAAACATAGCCACGTCTTCTCCAGTCAGACCGCACTGATCAAGACGAAGCACACGAAGGTTTCGAGAGCGATCACTAGCCAGGTACGTAGCAATGGCATCGACGGTCTCGCGGTTCACAACCGTCCGACTGAGAGCCAGCTCTTCGAGTCGCCAGTTGAACAGCATTTCGGCCGTGATGAGCGGGTCGCTGCCAGACGTCCGGGAGATGCGAGATAAATTGATTTTGCGGATTTGTCCGAAGTAACCAATGTATTGCTGGAGTACATCTGGATTCAACCGGCCCTGCACGCCTGATATGTTGATCGCTTCGAGTGTTGATTCTTGTGCGACGATAGTCGACAGAAGAAGGTCTAGGTCATGCACGGATAATCCACAGTCTCCGACCTCCAGAGCTCGCAGGTGACTACGCCTTTGGGAAGCCGCATCGACAAGATAGTCCAGATCCGACTCACCCAGCTTGATGCCGTTGAGAACAACCCAGTCCACGCTGGTCAATTCTCGGCGGCACACGGGGAAGATCGCTTCTGGAATCCCGCAGCCTGGGTCACGAGTACCCTTGTCAAGAGTTGGTGTCGGTGTCCGTGTAAGGCAATAAGAGAAGTCGAGTCGGCGCAGCCATTTGCTCTTCAGGGCTAAAGCTCGCACCTCTTGCGAGAGAACAGTCAGATTCGCCTGGCCTGGAATGTGCACGGAGGCGCCTCCTCGGTCGAGATGGACGTCTGAATCCACCCCATGAATGTCACGAAGACCCTGCAATGCATCCATATTGACCCCCCGGAACGAGATTGACCGGAAGAATTCATTGTAGCGAAGTGTGCGCATGACCGCAATGAGTTCCAAAGCGTTGTACCGCGGGGTTTTCGGGGAAGCGGGCTTCAAGAGACGGAAGCATGGAGCATCCTCGCATTCCTGGTCGATTGTGTATCGGATATTTGATGTGTCGATGTCATAACTGGCGGAGTAGGCGACCAGCGTTCGGTCGAGGCATCCATAATCTTCATCTAAAGCAACAGTTGGGAAGTTGTCGTCATTTTGCAATTCTTTGGGAACAACGAATTCGTACGGCTGTCTTATCCACAACGGACGGAGATATTCAGTTTGTTGTCGGATCCAACAAGCGACTTCAACAGAATGAACAGAGGCCAGGAACACATTAAATGATTTCTTGAGAGGAACCCTAAAGGTCAGATGCAGACTGTCATCACCGTACTCCATCGACAACCCTGTGAGATTCATCAGACCAAACGAAGTACCAGCCTCCCAGTCTGACAGGGATACGACCGATGATCGATTGGTTGTCTTCTGCATAGGCAGCATATGAAGCTTGTGTGCGCCGATGGCAAGATAGCAGCCCGTGGGCGATAGCTTGGTCAGGTCATCCGAGGAAGAGCGCGTGATTGACTTGCTGGACGCGATTTGAATGACCCGGAACATGCGGAACACCTCCGGGTCGTAATCTCGTTCATGTTCTAGCATACGAGTTACATACTCAATCGATCCGCTGGTAAATGGCATTGGACAATTTGCTCTAGCCATCTGGGCAGCTTGGCGAATGCCTACCATCCAAAGATTCAATTCTTGCAGATCAGCAGTCTGCATTTGAACCAATGTGGCTTTGTGTGTGCGCTCATCGAGATAGGCCACTTCGACTGATGGGGACAATCGTGCATCCTCCAGCATGTAGACCGCAATTATGCTGTTTAATGGGATTCCGGCAGATGCATCTCCAGAGGCCATTAATTGCATGTCCTGTAGAGAACTGACTGAAGCTATTGATTGGCGATGGGAAGCTGGAGCGCGGGTATAAGAAGCGGGAATTGAACCAAAGACATCGGCAGCTTTGCTTTGATTCTTAAAGCGAATGAGGTGGGTATCCGTGAGGACCAAATATTGGCTCTTTTTCCTCCACATGCCGCCAGTCGTCTGAACTTCCCCGTGGTGGAGGATTGCAGATGACCAGATCCCATTTCGGGGACTGGCCATGGTTTGATCGTCCACCGCCGAGCCGACGGAGGCACTCAGAGGTTCATCGTCCTCCCATGAATGCAATGACCTCAGGGATCCAAAAACCGAGGTGCGCTTTTTCTGTAGCGACTTCCTCCGCGGGCGAGGTGTTGTTTCATTGACAGGCGTGGTCGCTATGGGGGTGGATGCTGACCAGACGCCGGTGTCGGAGCCTGCTGTCCCAGGGCGGCGGTTATTCGATCCATCGGAGGATATGTTGGGGCTGTGAGACCGGCCGAAGAAACCAGAGTTCCGTCGGTTTTTCTTGTCTCTGGTCAAGGTATCATCCGAGGGTGTCCGGTCATGGAGTGGAGGCCGGAGGGAGGTTGATATAGTGAGGGACGGACTGAATACGCTCAGGCTCTTTCTTCGTTGTCGTTTGCCGATGATTTCAGCCATATCTGGTTCGGTGTGGGGAGGGGGACTAGTGGTACAGAAGCAGGGGGAGTTGCGTAAGGTGTTGGGGAGAGTAGCGGCGCGAGTGTACTGAGAAAAGAAGCTTATCTCATCGACGACCTCAACGTCGTTCGTACTAGTCGATCAATTAGCAGTTTGAAGAGTCATGACGGGCAATATTGAATGTGTGATAGAGAGAGAAGAATGGAGCGGAGAAAGAATGAGGGGAAAGGCAGCACATACTGCAGACCGTCACAGCGCCATGAGAAGCAATTGGTGTGCAATTGCTAAAGCCCGGAAAATTCTTCCCTATATCTAGGATATTTTTTTTTCCCCAGACACAGTCAGGGACCTGTCAACAATACGATGGAGGTGATGGTTGCGGAAGGAAGTTGAATCCACAATATTGATGATATCAGGCAAATCAGTCAAATCCGTGCTCTAATGTGATTTGATAGGCTCTTTTCGGGAGAAGATCAGTTACCAGAGGGGAAGATAAGAGGAATTCTGTTTGAATGCGTAAAAACGAAAACAGCAAAAAGAATCCACAGGGATAACCCTCGAAAAGAAAAGAGAGGGAAAAGGAGAGAGGAAGAGGAAGAGTAGAGGAATGGACGGATGCAGTCAGGTCCAACTGTAACGATCAACTGGAGATGTTTCAGCTGTTTTTTTTTTTTTTTTACTTTCCCCAATGTTTTTTTTGTTTTGGACTACATGTATTTTTTAAATCTAGTTTTTATTTTTTTTTGTTATTGTATTTTTTTAATTTCAATGTTATATTCTTCTATTCTTCTATTCTAATTCAAATGGATTTCTTCTGATAGTTAAACTGGCTTATATTTTAACTTGAAGCTGTCAATAAGCGAACCCCAAGACATACGTTCACGACTATCTTCAATTCATTTCTAGTACCAAGGACAGCACGTAAGTGGTGCTCCACTAGATTTGATACTAGATTTGATAGTGCCACCATAGCTGGAACTACAGGGGACTACAGGGATTAGTGCAGGAGAAATTAAATTGGAACTCCTCTTTAGTAACCATCTTCGGCATATCGGTGATGATCACGGTGATCATTGATCTTTCTTTGTACTCCAGAACAACTTTAGAAACTACATGATACAGATGATGTACAACATACTAGTTAACTAAATGGTTCATTTTTCTTATTTATAAGATCTACACTAAAATTGATAATATAGCATCATCATAGGTTCAACTCTTAGGATCCACCCCCAAAGGATGATCGGCATTTACAACACTCCAGATGCTGCTTTCGTAGGGGTAATATCTCGGGTCCACGCGAAAAGAGAGATCATAATAGATCAACATGGCAATCAGGAGGGGAATAACCCCAGGAAACTGGCGTCATCGATGACGAAGTTCAATCGGGATCAGCAGTTGACGGACGCAGCTACAGAATATTCATCTCGTCTGTAAAGCTAAGCAGGGGCTGGGAAATGACTGGGAAATGAGATTCGGGTCATCCGGGAGGTATTCCGACAGAGCGGATATATTGTGTGCGGTGGAAAGTGAGTTCCACACTCTAAGCTCACGTTGCAAAATCCAGTCGGGCGATATCTCTCAAAGTAGCTCGTCATTACCGACGATTCCCCTCCACCCTCTCAGCCTCAACTCGCTCGGCACGTTTAATCTGTCTCACCAGCTCGATATATTCTGTCACGCGTTTCTCTTGCCAGATACAACCACCCAGAGTCATCGCCGCAACTTGGATGAAGACCTTGAACTGCGGGGTCAGACCGCGGTAGACGCGGGACCCAGGGGATATCCAGCTTGAGAAACCCTCCAGGGGCCGGTGGAATAGTCGTGAGCGGAGATAGTCGCGGGAGAAGATGGACGGGCGTGGACGGGGTTGAGTTGCGGAAGACGCGGGCGGACTTGGTGCGGAGAAGACGAAGGGGTGGGGCAGGGCAAGAATCATATGGGCCAAGATGGACACAGAGCCAAACTGGAAGAGATTAGCGATTGCATTAGGGCTTTGGATTGGAGGTCCGGTGCTTACCCGGAACACGCCGGTCATGAAGCCTTGGGCAGCTATCGAGGTGATTTCCTCCGGGGGTGCAACATCGCCCCTATGGTTGTGTGGTGTTGGCATTCTGGTATGTATATGTGCAGTCGCAAGTACTGGTGAACAAGAGGGGCCAGTCGGCTTGGGTTAGGAATTGAGATGGCGGTTCTTATCGAGGCCGAGTTCGGCGAAGCGATAAACAAAGTAAAAATACAGGAAGATGTCTTCTTCAGGCCCCAATGGGTAATATAAAAAGACAATATGAAATATCAAGGATGTGAAGAATAAAAGCCTGGACCTGCCAGTGTCTTAAACCTTGCTAACCTGAGTCTGAAGTATGTTTGTATACCTTTCCAAGATTATCACCTCCATAGAAAAAGTACGGATCAACGATTCTCCAGCGGACGAGTCAAACAAAAAAGAACTCCGATTATCAACCATCTACTCCATACAAAACACCGACTCAATTAAACTTGTCAATTCGACCTACACCAAGACTACAATTCACAATGTCTCTCACCACACGTACAGCGACCATCTCGCGGGCGACCAACGAGACCAAAATCCAAATCTCCCTCTCCCTGGACGGCGGCGTCCTCCCACCCTACGAACCATCAACCCACTTCCCCGCCCCAACAGACCCCCAAGAAGCCTCAGCCTCCAAGAAAGGCATTGTGCCACCCAAGGAAGCCAGCCATGCAACCCAATTCACCGCGACGCAGCAAATCACCATCAGCACCGGTATCGGATTCCTGGACCACATGCTGCATGCGCTGGCCAAGCACGGCGGGATGAGTCTTGCTGTCCGCGCGAAGGGTGATTTGTACAGTGAGTTCCCCTGCACACTATACACATGGAAATAAATCCTACAATATGAAAAAAAAAAGAAAGAAAAAAAAACACACTAATGTAAATCAGTCGACGACCACCACACAACAGAAGACACCTTCCTCGCACTCGGTGAAGCGTTCACACTAGCCCTAGGCGCACGACAATCGCTGGAGCGTTTCGGTCGCGGCGATGCGCCTCTCGACGAGGCCCTCTCATGGGCGGTGATTGACCTGTCCAGCCGTCCTTGGGCTGTTATTAACCTCGGCTTCAAACGCGAGAAGATCGGCGATTTGAGCACTGAGATGATCACGCATGGATTGCAGAGCTTTGCGCAGGCTGCGGGCGTTACGTTGCATGTTGGTTGCACTTATGGTGATAATGACCATCACCGTGCGGAGAGTGCGTTTAAGGCACTTGCTGTTGCTATTCGCAATGCTTGTAAGCGGAGGGTTGCGGGTGATGTTGGTGCTGGGGATGTTGTTAGTACTAAGGGTGTTCTGTAGGGGATGTTTGGATATAAACTATAAAAGTGTTATGAATGAGATGAGATGGATATACGGAGTACGATGTGGTGGTTTACTTATTGCATAGTATTATTACGCATTATAGAACGGTGCAGTGGTATGAAATAATGAAATGAAAAATGTAATGTAATAAGATCAAGGCTTTGGATATAACTTCTTTTTATTGTATACTAATCCTACCATAACCCATCAATCATCAATATCAAATGTCAAATATCCAACCTGACAAGCAGTAAAACCAACGCCAACATCGAAGAACCAGCTCCGGAAACACAAAGAGCAAACCAAACAAATAGAAATCCCAATCCCCAAAACCAATCCCATCAAAATCAAAAACCTAAACACCAATAGCCTTAACAGCCCTCTCCCAATACACCTTCCTCTCATCCGTAACCGAAGTCCCCACACAATCCGAGATAAACCTCTGCCAACCAGTCTCCGACCCATCAGCAAGGGCACTGCGCACCTCCTTCGAACACTGTGTAGTAAGGAACCAAGCGGCAGAACCAAAGTCCGTGGCACCGTCGTTGCGCAGGAGATCCAGTAGATCAGCGGGACTGTTGCTGACGGCCGGGAGTTTTTCTTTCAAGTCTGGCAGGGACGAGGCGTATTTTTTGTTGAAGGATGGGGATTGCATATTGCGTGCTGAAAGAATGATAATAATATGGTTAGGATACGGATGTTGCCAAAGAGTTTAGTTAGGGTTGAGGGGGTTGGTTAGGGTAAACTCACTGCCCTGTCCGGCAACGCCAGGAAAATGATTCTTATTATATTTGAAATCGTCGCTTTCAAACGCCATCAGACTGATGATGGCAGCTTGCTCTGCTTTCGAGGTGACTTTGTATGTGTCGAATGATTGGGAGGTGAATTTTGCTGCTTGTTTTGCTGTTGCGCATTCGTCTTTTGCTGGGGCGTCTGTGCAGGATTTGGAGGTTGGGGCGATGGTGATGAGTTGGGATTCCGTTAGAGCTGTATCGCGGGCGAAGAAGGATGGGAGGGGTGTTGCGGTTGTTTGGATTGTGAGGGTTAGGGTTAGGGAGAGGAGGAGGGTTTGGAGGTTCATTTTGGTGATTTGGGATTGAGGTAGAGGATATAGGAAGGATGGGTATAAGTTAATGGGTAACTATATCATATATAAGGATCAAGAGTTGAAAGTCAAGTATGAATAGACGGTTGTTATAGATGGATAGATAGTATAGGAAATGATCTTGGTGCTGTACTAGGAGTAAAGAGCAGCACAGCAGGTCATCTTTATAAGTCCTCGAACATGCCTGTCCGAGGCAGAGAGGGGATATGAACGAAGGGCTTGCATTGTCCAAGGCAGCTGGGACATAGAAAGGGGAGGCGGAGGTAAGATATTTCCAGTACCCGGTTCTTGCCAAGTAACCCCACCCCCTGCGGGTGTTGGGTTACCACACCGTAAACTCTTGCCTAACGTAAAATGTACCTTTTACTAGTAATCCACATATAAAAGGTACATCCAGAAAATTAGGGTTTCTCGACTCTCGAACTAGATATGATAATTATAGTCTCAGTACTAGAATGCTAAGTATCAAGAGATATATATTCTCTATAAAATATAATCTCTAGAGAGGGTATCGTGAATATATAGCGCGAACAACTTTCGGAGGCTGTTCAAAACCCCTTCGTGATATAACACCACGATAACGCCGGTTTTAGATATTAAAATAGTGCTATCTATTTTTATATGTAGATAAAATAGTACTATCGGATTCATTTTATTTTTTATCAATTTTTGTCGAATTTTGACAGATGATAGGCCGTATGTACCTTTTATATGTGAATGACTAGTAAAAGGTACATTTTACGTTAGGCAAGAGTTTACGTTAGGGTGTGGTAACCCAACACCCCCATGCGGGTGTTGGGTTGCTTGGCAAGAACCGGGTATGTGCATTGTAGGGTAGACGCGGAGAATGCTGGACTGAAGTATGTGGCCAATATCAAGAACACCAAATGGGGTATTTACTTTAAACCAAAGAACATGCTACAAGGTAACTAGTATACTATTTTTAAAAAAGACTAAAACCGTAGACTTGATAGGACGACTTGGAAAGCTTGTCGATGTGGTGATGCAAGGCACAGTGTTATTATCATTGGAGGGAGAAATTAGGGTTTCAAGATTTGGTTGTTTGGGGTTGGTATCAGATTAGTATATCAGATTCCTAGGTCTAATAAAACATACACGACTATAATTATTATCCTTTATACATTGTCATAGTTGAAATACCATTATTGGATCGTAATTCCCCCCGGAGATATCTGATCCGAGTGCATAGAGACATGTCCATATAATTTTCACTGCCTCCCCGAGAAGCGAAATCTAACTTGTTTACAAATCAATAGACAAAAATAATAATAAGAGGAAAAAAATGGGAGACAGTGAAACAGAACCAAAACACAAACACCAAGGGTGTCTGCGCACATGCCCGAAAGCAAACCCAATTGCTCCAGGTGAACATTCAATCCCGGATCCCGTCACAGGATTGAGACACCATGCATAATGCGCTCCTAAACACAGAAAGAAAGAGCAAAAGTTGTACAATAAATGCTGATGCAGAGATCATGTCCGAGGCCGTATCGTTACAGGCAAAATACACAAGCTGTAAAATGGCGAAGTTGCGAGTCGAGAAGTCAATCTCTAGATCTCTAGTCGTCGCGACGTCCTAGTTCGTACGAGGTCTCTGTGACCCCGCCTGCCTCTTCGTCTTCTTTAAAGCTGACGCGTCGCAGGATCGTCGGGACTGAGAGTCGCGACCGTCGTGTTGGCGATGTCGAAAGTCGTGACGGGTTCATGAGGCTGGGCACTTTAGTGTAGCGGTAGCGGTACTTGGCTCCCAGGAGCATGACACGTCCGTAGCTCCACCAGAGGCAGAATCCAACGACTCCGGCGAGGAGGAAACCGCAGACTGTGAGGAAGAGCCAATGTTGACCCATCTGCAAGATATTAGCATTTTTCGGAATATTTCGATCCCAAAGTTTGTTTCACTTACCCAGAAGATCAAGTGCGCATCCTTGCCGTGCCAGCTGTTACCCCGGTGGTGGGTGAAGAAGCTCCAGGAGAACTTGTTGTACTCGTCCTGCATGAGAATGCGCACACGCCCGGCCTCACTCGGCCCATCGCGCATATACTCTTTCCAGATGACAGAGAGGAACAGCGGTCCGGTCGAGTACATAACAGTAATGTATGGGAGGAGCCAGTGGCGGTCGTACTGTTGCAGCACTTCGATCGTACGGAGGAAGAATGGGTGCTGTGGTACTGAGCCCATAGCGTCATTGGAGATACCGGTGGGTGCGGTACGGCGTACCCAGGCGGGATAAGCTAGGAGAGGGTCCAAGCGACGGTTGCAGCCCTAATTGAGGTTAGAAAACGAAACACCATGGTCTGTCGTGGGAGTATACTCACGTCGTCGAGGTCAATGTATGTACCACCGAAGTGTGCGAGAATGAAGTATCGAATAGAATCCGCGCGTTGAATAGGATAACTGTAACCATCGAATGTGTCCAAGAACCAAGGGTATTCGGCGGCGATGAAGTCCCGCGATTTCTCATTTGTCCATAGCTAACGACAACATGTTAGAAACCGGTTTGAATTGAACAGATTGGGTAGGGGCCATGGACGTACAATATATTCATAATCCGGGTGCAGGTCAATGCAACTCTGTTGAGCATCGACCCAGACCTCTGGAATGGTCTCATTCTTGTATGTTTGGTGAATAATCTTCGGAATTATCTGGGGTCGTTGCTCGATCAGGCTCGAATTTGGCGAGGGCAGCTCCGCGCGGTGTATAGCGTCGGCGGCGGCATCTTCAACTAGTAGTGCTAGAAGCGTCGAGACACTGCGGACGAGCAATGAGAGAATAATGAGGTTGACGATGAGGAAGATCAAAAGACCGCGCCGCATGATGAAGGCGAAGGCGGAGGGCGAAAGACACGAAGGATTAGGTAGAAGCGTGATAACCAATTGAACCCCAACTATTTCGTATTTTATGTCGTAAAAGTCGTGCTAAGAGTATTCAGACCCTTAGGCCGTTTGATATGTAGTCAAAGCTGTATGAAAATGCGGTCATAAGAATCTGGTAATGATAAAAGGAACGAGAAAAGAGTATGTTTTAAAATAAAAAGGGGAGACTATTTCACGATAATAAGGAGTGACGGGAGTGGGGAGACTAAAGCTAAAGAAGGAAAGGAGAGACCTTGGGGGAGCGTTTAAAAATTGGAAATTCTGAGGCAAAAAATGAATTTTAAAAAATTAAAGAAAAAAGAAAAGAAAAAAGAAAAAAAGGGAAGGGAAGGAAGGTGACGAAGGGGAAAGTAAAGAGAATACGACAAGAGAACAAAGTCTGGGAAGAAAAGGTTGAGCTCATTTTAATTTTACAGAGAGGCTGAGTACAGAAAGGTGGCTGTGGTTCCAAGATTAGGCGGTTGGATCTGATTCTGATTGGTGGATTCATAGTGGGGCAACAAAGGGGGAATTCATTTTAACCTTTTTTCTTTTCTCAAAAAAACCAATCTTGTATGGATGGATGTATGAGTGTGAGCGTGGAATTAAATATAGTAATAAGATTATATCTTGAATTGCTATTAATATAATATAATATAATAGAAACTACATATAACTATAGTTAGTTAGCCATTGAACTATCTATGAGTGTATACCTCCATCGCTAAAATAATCCAAGTTTGGCGCGAGGACTCGTCATCGTATTGTAAATATACAACCGTGGGGAAAAATCCCCACGCCAACGTGAGAACGGTGTATTGAGCTAATCCTATTTGGACATGTTACTCGACCGTACCTTTCTCGGTCTCGGGAGGCTAGTGGGAGTTTGCATCTGCTAGTTCCGAAGTCTATTACCTGGGTTTTGAGAACCGGTTGCATACCGGAGCCCAAATGGTCTAGCTATAATAATAACTAACTATTCTGTACTCCGTACTTTATTGTACATAACTAATCAGTGTTCAGTGCTTTGTATATTTACATTATCTGTTGTACATGTATTTTACTACCCCCACGATTGTGGCGTGAATTACAACATATACGCCTTTGATAAGAACAATTTAGTGATGACACTATAAGTGACAGAGTATAATGTACTACGTATATGAATCCAATCCCACGCGTAAAAAGAAAGAACCAAGCCTTGAACATCCTGGCCACAGACTCCGCCAAGGTTATTGCCAGCACGAGAGGTAGGAATTGGCACCGATTTGCCAAGTGAACCGCCACTATGTGCCACCGCACAGGAGCGTGCACGGTGCGATTAGAGGTCTCCATTCTCACCCACCATTATTGGCCTCGATGATCGTATTCGTTTTTGTACTTTTGGAATATTTGTATTTTGCTTGTGGATACATGTGTAGCGTATGGAATAGATATGGAAAAGTGCAACTGGAATATTTTCAACCAATGAAACCCTTCAAATAAATATATTTCCATGCACAAGTGGACTCAACTGTATGGTTTATGTATATAACCCATTCCCATGGGAACTGTCACCCCCACTAGACCCGCCATTGATCTGGATGTTGTACCTAGGTACCCCTACCTAGGTAACGATATTGTATGGTACAGAAAAAAAAGAAGGTCCCATCCACTCAGGGAAACCCACCAATAACCCACAATAACCCACGGTTCACCACGTTGTATCTCGATTCCCATTTTAACTCTGTTGCCTATCACTCGTCATATACCAGCTTCTCCGGGTTTCCATTCTAAGATATGACGTGGGTGATTCTTTAATTTCAAATCTACCGTGATTGTACAGTACAAGCATTGCGCAGATCGCCTGCCGTGCCATGTTTATCAGCGGGATGTGGGCGCTAACGGTGAATTACTCCTTTGGTACACATCTGATATTAACACTGCGCGCCTAACACATCCATACTCTATGATTATCTACCTACCTAACTAGTTATACCACATAGGTGTATAGGTTATCAAGGTTTGAGAACAATTATACATGTATCATACAGACATGTACAGGGAAATTCGCAACTATTGCTTAGCTAGGCAGGTAGTGCCCGGGCCCTTAATTAAAAGCGCTGCATATCACCACATTGGTTTGTTCTGAAATATGGGGCCAAGACCTGAAATATACGGGGCGCTGGGCGCCATAAATGTACAATGTGTACTCCGGTTTACTATTATATTGCCTCGTGGCAGCCTTGGTCTGACGTTCTCTAGATCGTCCTACAGCCCTTTCTAAGAATAGTCGAGTACTCTACATAATGTGAGATGACTAGGCTGACTACATACAAGAATAGTCAGCCGCTTATGCAGCCTTGTCATGGCTTTTTGTCAGTCTTTTAGATGCTCTTTTTAGATGCTCTTTTTAGGTGTAGACGAAGGCAGTAAAAAAAGACATAGTTACTCTATGCAAGAGACTTGGCTAGTAACTAGTTAGTTATAACCTTTAATATACATTGTATTATATTGTATGCTGCCTATTTGTTAAGACTGCCTATGTATATGCAAGATCAAGCACAGCCCCGTACTTAACTTGGCATGTCCAAACAAAGTATCATCATGCGCTTCCCTGGCTACTGCAAGGTATTTTGATAAGTGGCTGGTAATGAATGCAATCACACATGCAATCACACGGTATTGATTTACTTTACTTTATTTTAACGCATGTGAATGTAAACAAACAGGGGTTGGTGCGTTTGAGTTTATTATTTCGAGGGACAGAGCGAAGTCAAATGCTCTCTCGTACTTGGGGTTGAAGGCCATAGCGAGCGTTTGATACATGTCGTCATCTTAAGGTATGTGTCTGCATACAGCTCTAAGTGGTATATAGGAGTAAAAAGAAAATAATAATCCGGGTATCTATGGCTATTCCAATGTAAACACATATGCACGCTCTTGTAAACATAAACGAAAGTCCTAGTCCTTGCTTCTTTTAGATAGATCACATGAGGACTGTGCCAAGGGGAAACATCCCAACATCATCAGATAAAAGGGAGCTATGTTGTATTCCGGACAGACCCCTCGCTAGTCTCCGTCATACCACTTTTGACACAGCTCTAATGTGGCCTGTTCACTTCTCCCCCAGTATCTCACCCAGTATCTCATGCAAAACTCACCGAATGATGTCGAATGCTCTCATCCGGTGTGATTTAGAGAAAAGCGCCAAGATGCTCGCTGGTGTCCAGTTTTGCCCCTTCCCTGCATGGCAATGGCTCTACTTATACCAACGAGATCTGTCTTTCGAATGCGGTCTAGTTTCAATTTCCTTTCAACGCCACAAGGAACCTCGAGATTCCATTCCAGAAAAGCGACACTTGATCAATAAAAAGAATAAGGTTCATCGAACCTCAGGCGCCACGGCAGCCGCAAACTCGCCATTCACAGCCGCACCCGTTGTACGCTCGCTTGGGCTGGGCGCAGACTCAAACAGACGGATCCACCAACGAGGCGGGTCAAGCGGACGGTGGCCATCATGCAGAGGCGGGTAAACATCGTTGAAGAAGTACCAGATATGACCGACAACAACGCCCAGCATTTCATCCTTCGGCACGATCTTATGCACAATCACACTGAATCCCATGAGCACCCAAGGTAGGTAGGGAGCGGTGAATACCAGCAAACCCAACAAACTGAGCCGGGTGTCTGGGTTGCGCCGGGCCCAGATGTAGACCAAGCTGGATGAAAGCGCGCTTCCCAGGAAGGGTATTGAGAGGAAAGGTGAGATAATGAGGAGAGATGTCATGGCGTAGAAAATCAGCCATGCAAAGTGGGCCGGGGAACGGCCGGATGTTTCTTCCAGAAGACGGGAGTAGCGCTGCAGGAAGAAGACATGGAATAATAGGTCGAGATTGAGGGGTCCGAAATAGAGGAATGTTGTGAGGAGTCGCCAGTACTGCGATTTAACGTAGACAGAGCGGAAGCTGTAGAATAGCTGGAATGGGGTCACGATGTGGCACTGCACCAAGACTGACGTTGCGACGGTTGCTACAGTCCACCACCGGGTGACGGGTGGCATCTCATAGAACCATTGTTCGAGGGGAAACTGGCCTGGTTGCCCATTGTTCTCCCAGAGAGCGGCCATAATGTGTGGGGGGGTGTTGTAACTTCTACTCCTAGTGGAAACAGAAATGAGACAGAAGCGGGAGTCAAGGCGGATGATCAGCACGAGCACTGAGAGCTCTCCAAAGTGCCTCCGGGGTATATTCCACGTATGACGGAGATAAGACCAGGTAGGCCAGTTTATCGTCACGTGTCCAGACACGAGGCGCGTGTTTACGTGAGAATCACGGGGGCTGGGACGCTAAGGCCCGAATAGTTCATATTGACAGCTCACCCAGCCTTCCCTTTGCAACAAAGGACTGTCTAAATATTAGCAGATAAGATTTTTAATCCCAATCCCTTCGGTTGAATCTCGCGTGCAAGCCTAAATCCCCTTCAATACTCGGACACGGTTCCCGCAAGGGACAATCTCGACACAAACGCGGCAATTCGCAAGGCGCTGGTTGCTAGGCGATAAACCTCCCAATTGATCGCTTTCCAACACCCCACTACCCAAAAAGACCTCTCCAGCACATTTCTGTACCACAATGCCACCTAAAATGGCCCGAAAGGCAGCACCGGGCAGCGCACAAAAAGGCAAAGTACGCAAGACAGCCGCCGCAGGAGGTGGAACACCAACAAAAAAAACGAAGGGAGGAAAGCAATCAACAGTCGCAAAGACCAACACCAACGTCCAACGTACGTCCTACCCTCCTCCTCCTACCACCCCCACAATGAGCGCCTTGGACTACTCAACTTGCGCAATTCCTATTCAACCCACCATTCTAACAATCCCCTAGCCGGAGATCCAACCCCCACAGGCCGCCGTCGCCGCTACAGGCCCGGCACCCTCGCATTGAAAGAAATCCGCCGCTACCAACGCTCCTACGACCTCCTAATCGCCAAACTCCCCTTCGCACGCTTAGTCCGCGAAGTCGCACTCGATCTCCTCCCCGCCGACGTCGGCGCAGAGTTGCGCTGGCAGTCGCATGCCATCCAAGCTCTGCAAGAAGCCGCTGAGGCTTTCCTTGTTCATCTATTTGAGGATACGAATCTATGCGCGCTGCATGCGAAGCGCGTTACTATTATGCAGAAGGATATCCAGCTTGCGCGGAGAATTCGCGGTGTTTGGGCTGGGCTTGGTTGAGCTGTTTTATTAGTATTTCGATTTTTGCGGCTTTAATATTAATTTCGCGGTGTGAGGGAGGGTCTTTTCTTCATCTGTGTGCGGATGAGGATAGATCCCTCGGCGGACATTGCTGGCGTATTGTGGGTATGGAGTTGACTTCAGCGGTGCTGTTGTCCTCGTGTGTTTTTTTTCTTCCTTCGATGTTTCATCAAGCGGAAGCTGGTGGAGCCTGTGTCCGTGGATTGCAGGCTGGTTTATACCATAGTGTTTGTACATTACGCATGGATGTCAGGTGTTTATGTTCTTTTTTATAGGGGAGCGAAGCAATTCATGATCTTCCTAGGGTGGTGTGATAGACACGCCCTGAGCTGAATTCTATCAATTTTCAAGTCCACGATTCCTACGTGTATCACTGGGTAAACCTCTGTGCTTAGGACATCGAAAAGGTATTTCTTGGTTCGGCAATAACATCATTTACCGGCTCGCATCCATAAAATATCAAACTCCTTCCCTGGTAGCCATCAAATGGTATCGTAAACAAGCGCCTCCCTAAGAACAGTCCTGAAACAAACGCCAAAGGGAAAGACGTTTTAAAAAAAAGGTATATCATGTTTATAGCAATAGACAAAAGCCAATCAGGCTGAACGTCTCAGACGGGGCGGAAGACCCGAGACCAAGCGTTGACCTTCCTCGCGGACGCTCTGCGCTTCCTCGCCCTTGCCCTGTCGCTCGAGGGTTTCAGCCAGCATGTCATCAGTGACACTCGCCCACATACGGTCATTAGCTCGTTTAGCCATTGCACGGCCGGCGCGAGCGCTTTTCTCGGCTTGCTCGCCGACCACGCCGCGGAAGTACTTCCAGCTCATGAATGTTAGGGTCATGCAGGTGATTTGGCTGTTGCTGATTGCGGTGGCAGACTGCAGGGCTTGCTGGAGGTACTGTTTTGTTTGGATGGTTGACTCGGAATGAACGGTTGCGCAGACTAGGTGGTAGGCAGCTTGTATGTACTTGTTTGGACTGTTTTGGCAGAATGGTTCGAGGGTTGCTAGAACAGCGCTGAGCAGTGAGTGCGACGGGTGATTTGGATCACGGAGAATGAGAACTGTGTTGAGACCGGCGAGGATGCGCGTATCACGACAGGGGTCATTACGTCCTGTCTTGCTGGTAGCGGGGTCTAGTGACAGAATTGGTGATTGGAATATATTCAGCGCGGCCTCGAGATCGCCAGTGGCTTGTACGATGGTACCGGCGGCATACTCCATCAGACATTCGATGGTATCCGGGAGGTTGGAACCAAGCTCTTCGAAGACTTGTCGAAGGTCGTTGAGGGTCTGGCTGGCAAGATCCCAATCGGTTCGAGCGCAGGCTAGGAAGACTCGTTGGAGGAGAAGGTTGCAGTAAAGGGACTGACGCCACTGAACCCGACGGTTGGCATTGACCATGGATTCTGAAATTTCTTGGGGGGCCCTGAAATTGCCTTGAACCATTCGAAGTCCTTCCTCAAGATATTTCTCTGCTTTCCGGCCGTCATATGAGTTCTTGGCACTGAGCGTGATTGAGCTTAAGAAATAGCAAAGCGCATAAAGATCGTGCTGAGGAAGCCAGTTGAAACTTAGTAGCAAAGTCCCATTATGAACCTGCAAGATGTCACCGGTGTCGATGGATGACGGCCCAGCAGATTTGCCGTTGAGAGGGACTGAAAAGGATCCATCGGGACGCCAGTTGCTGTCGCTCAATGTTTCGTCCATCAAAGCCTGCATGACCTTCAGCTTCTGCCCAGACTGGTTGACGTCGTACTCTAGAAGACTGCAACAGATATCAACCATTTGAATCAAGGTTGTGAGTTGGGGTATATGGCGAAGTTCATCGTTCAGTTGATGACTTCGCGCGGCAGCCACAGCGCGCTGTGCCTGCTCGATAGAATCGGCATTTGTCGCTTGCTGCAAGTGTGCAAGTGATTCGATGACAGCGGCCATTGCTGAAACAGCCTTGTCCCCGTTACGACTAGCCATAGCCGTAATTTTGTGAAGATGCTGTAACGCTTGCACAGAGTCTTGGTGTGACGGAGATGACAATGACAGTGATACTCGAAGGAAACGAAATGCATACTCCCATGCGGCATGGCGGTACCTATAGCTATTAGTATTCTGCGGTCAAAGAGAGTGGAATGGCACATACGCTTCCACATCCTGAATCATCCCATCGACTGCCTTCAAGGATGCTTTAGGGTTGCTTTTGTGGAGCATCCGTGCCAAGAGGTGTTGCATGCTGTATTTCAAGTCAAGCATACGGTTCTATAACAGTCAGATCAAAACGAATTCGCTATCAAGTTTCGGTTGACTAACTCGTTCACAAAGATCGATCTGCGTCAAGTTAGTGGCTACTTCTAGAATAGAGGAGGGAAACAAATACACACCCCTTTACTCAATGCTGTTTCCGCTTCGATGTCATTGTCTGTTTCCTCGAACAATGTACGCGCATAGCGAAGTCTAACAAGGGCTTCTTTGCGAGGTTGCAATCGCCAGTTCTATCGTATCATTTGTTTAGCATAGGTGCAGAATTTGTCCAATAGAGCAATTAACCAACCTTCAAGACAGCCTCCAAACAGCCCAATCCGGTAGCAACCAGCTTGTAATATTCCTCGACATCCGTCTCACGAGCGGTCAATGAGGTCGTTGTTCCATGCGCATGAGCAGCATTTAGATATTCATCGGCCAGGGACAACAGCAGAACCTGATAGTCGACTGGAGGCTTGGTAGACTTGGCGGGGGTGGGCTTTCCATGTTTTTCGACATTTGGCTGACTCGGCTGTCTCTTCTTTTCAATATGCTGCGGTTGAAGTTGCTTCTTCAGAGTTTGGGTTTGAATACTTGCTTGAACGACTGGAGAAGGAGCTGGGATCATGACTTGCGGGGTGGCATGTGTCACCGGCGATGGAGCAGGCTGGGGTCGTTTCGGCGTCGCAATAGGCGTAGAAGGCTTTTTCTGGGGCTCTACTTTGGGGGGATATTTGCTGGTTTGGGTTCGACTTTAATGATAGGGTGTGCTTGCGGTGTATGGATATTGGGTTTTCCTTGCTTGTTTTCGGTGTTTGGTTTGGGAGTAATAGGAGACGGGACTGGAGCAACATGGACAGGCATGACTGGCGGAGGAGGTGGCAAAGCGGCTGGTGGTATTTGGGAGGGACTAGCACTCGGGACGAAAGGCGGTTCGCCATACTGAGGAGAGAGTTGGGTGTATCGGGATCGTGGGGCAGTAGGCAGTGGTTGTTGTACAAACAATTGAGCCGGATTGACAAACTGATGTTGAACCTCTTCTTGTTGGATTTGAGGCGGAGGCGGAGGTGGGGGGTGGGGGGAGGGGGCGGCTGAGGTGGAGGGGGTGATTGTAGTTGAGGGAGTAGTGGTGGTGCTAGCTGTTGTTGCCCTGGCTGTGGCCGTGGTTGGAGAGCCTGTGATGGTAAATGGAGTGGCTGCTGCGGGGGAGTTTGCGGCGGAGGACGCGTTTGCTGCTGATGCTGCTGCTGCTGTTGTTGTTGCTGTGGCTGTGAAGTATATGTCGATGGGTATGAATATGGTGTCATAGTCGAAGGATACATTGCCTTGCCATAACTATCGTATGGGGGCGGAGGAGCGGCATTATTGTACAGTATCTGCGGGGGGATTTGCCCGTGTTGATACTGCGGTGGCGGTAGATAATGCGGGTATTCGCCGGGGCCAGGTGGTGGAAAGCTCATCGCCCCGAGAAACAGACAATACTCGTATAAATCGAGTATGAAGTCGAACGCGCGAGATGATGAGCGTGGATCTTCGTGTCGGTCCGGAGAAACTCCAGGGCGGTCAGCTGATAAGGGATGTTGCGATTACGCGACTTTTCCACCGATGTACCTGTATACTTCCTATCTACAACATAGGTTAACTAACTGATTAACTAACTAACTAACTAACTAGTTAGTTAAATAGTTAGATTGTTACGTCTCAAAGTTATGGAAGAGTCGTCTTTGACAGTTTCCAATTTTTTTTGTTTTGGGCTGTGTTGTCGGCCAATGAAGCACTTGGATAAGACAAAGGACTCTAACAAGGGGTCTTACAATATATGTCGAATCGAGCACCACTAAGGTGGCCTTCACTTCTTGTCTGAATGATTGAATTATTTGATAGTATGCCTAGATACTTGATGCCAACAAAAGACAAATCTAACGCGCTGAAACGACACTCACTATACAACATATATACTGACAAAATTCGTAAACGAGAGAAGGAATGAACCCCAATTGGTCAACCAACTCTTTATGATCTTGCCAAAGCCCCCAAGGCCTCTCTCGCAGCTGAACAAATTTGTTAAATCATGTTTATGTATGTGTAAAGTTGGTTGATGGGTGAGTTACCTATCCCAGAATCGATAATTTCTTGCTCTATACTTGGCGCGAATGAGAGCGCTGGATGTTCGCGCACTGTCCAAGGACATAACTCGTTGCAGTTGTCAACACTGACTGAAGGTTCGGCTGGATGAATTCTTTGTGCTCCCCAAACCGGATCAGGAGCTGGACCCGTCCCTCCAAGGTTTCTTTGGGTCCAGAATGAGTATGTCGCTCTGCCAGATTTTTCAGAGTGGAATGGTGATTTTCGTGGACATGTCAACGTTGTGTCACAAGCACTGCAAACTGATATACGGTTGCAAGATGAACAGAAAGAGTCGAAGAGGCGACATAGAGTGGTTTGGTGGACGCTTGAGAGCCACAGGTCGACTGATCGATGTGCACACCCAAAGCGTGGTGTCATATAATCTTCCTTGCCAACTTGACCTGACTCGGTGGTGAGTTCGTATTCCGTGCGAAGAACCAGCTGATTGTTGGCATTGATCACAGGGAACAAAGATGTCTTCAGCTCGGTTGGGCCATACTGCTCGGTGCATGTATGCCAGCAGTAGCGGTCATTAACGGCGTTCCCGAAGGTTGATTTCAAGGGTAGTAGTGCCACCTGCCGCACTCGAACATGATCTGCGAGATCGAGTTTATCACGGAAAGTCAATTTCTTGCATGGGCACAGGTCGACAACCCCTGCCAACTCTCCAGCATTGCATGTTCGATGCTCTGGCTTCCGCCTCAGCTCTCTGGATGAGAATGCGGCTCTAGGGTGGAGTTTCAAACACTTGGAGCATAGTTTCCAGCGGGAGTTTTCCAACAAGTTGAGGAATGACCACCGGGGCGTGACAAAGTTGTGTCCATTGCGATAATGGTGGAATAGCGGTGCAAAGTCACGACTGAACCGGAGGGATTTCGAGAGCAGGATCTCTCCGGATATTGCGAACATGCGCTTGTTGGTCAGCGCAAGCGCAGCCTCCGGCAACACTGTCAGATGGGATATGATCTCCAACAACAGCTCGGTAGGTAATTCCATTAGGTGGCAACGGCCGAGGCCATCTTCCTGTTGCTTCTTCGCTCGTTTCGAGGACCAGGTTCTCATTTTGATCATAGTCTTGAACTTCTCTGTGGCGCGGTGTAGACGATCGGACATGTCGGACGAGGACTTTCTTATTAAAGTCATGAGTGTTTGGATCCAAGATCGTTCAAATATGTTTGATGACCAGGCCTCATGAGAGATTTATGAACAATATGGATAGTGGCGTTTCGACTGTTACTATCATGTTGTAGTAGAGATCAAACGCATCGTGTGACGAACAAGTAGTTGCATCACCTTCAAAGGAAAAAGAGCGAAGATATGGATCCTTTGACCTTGAAATAGTCTGCTGGAAGATAAAGATTCCCGAAAACGGACCATGGGACCGGGTCATAAAAAGATGGGTGTTAATGCTATTAGCATTACATATAAAGAGGAAGAGGAACTGATCATTGGTGGCTTAGTCCGTTCTTTGTCTGATGATCCATATGCAGAACACCGGATATTTCAACATTTTAACCCTACATTTATCTTGTTTGATTTAAGAAAGGACATTGCTATTGTCGGAAGACATGGGGATATCTCCCTGTGTTTTCGCGCCGGAAGTGAGTTTAGGGCTTCCGCATGCGGAAATCAGATTGCCGCATTGGGAATCATATCATCATCACTTCATATTCGGTGGAATGCCCCCGACATTTCCCAACTGCACTAGATAAGGTGTGCTTCCTGCATCAAATCCGAGCTCAAACCTTGTATGCGCTAGGATATTGTCAACTGACTTCTGGCGTATGACAAAAAAACGCCGACATGTTATATCAGGTGTGTCCGTGCAAAACCCGCTCGGGTTGAAGTTCCACCTGGGCACCTCATATTGATGACTAAGCCAACCTTAAAGCCCAGGTCACCTGATACAACATGCATAACTATGTGAATCACGTGTATAGGAATAAAATAAACTTAATCATATTGAACCATGGCCCCGGGGGTAGGAGACCCGGGGGACTGGAAAATCTAAACATAATTTTTTTTTTTTGCCGAGGTCTGTTTCTGATAATCGAGATGTTTGGTTATCTTGGATCCAGTGTTTTGCATTTTTGCATTTTGCATTCCTAAGTCTGTCTTTTTTTTCTTTCTTTTCTTTCTCTACATATAAGAGTTAAACGACTTTCATTGGGATATCGATTTGTTCATTTGCTCGATTTTCAGCTTTCTTTTAGTGTTTAGATACCCCTCATGCTCGACATCATCCCAACGCTTCTGAATTCGATCCCCCTATCAGTCCTCTTATCTGGGTTGATCGCCATGGGGTTGATTTCATGGTTTCGTCCCAAGGGTCGCATAGCTTTCCATCACGCCAAGGACAATAAGTTGACATTGACCAAAGTGCCCGGCGCCACAGGCGCTAAAGAACAAACCACGTTCGTGGATGTCTGTCGGTCTGCAACACCAGAAACATGCAATCTAAACCCTTTCTTGTTCAATGGCCACCTACAGACATGTTGGACTACTGTGAAATACGACAATGTTCCTGTTTACTACAAACGTAAAATTTTCGAGTCGGAAACCCCCGCATTCACGGGTCACTATGCCATGGATTTCGTGGTCACACCGTACGAGGTTCCTCAAGACCCGGAGCTTATTGATCAAGCGAGGAAGTATACCCAAAAGTCTGGTTTGCCGCCGCGCACATCGTTTTACTCTCAGGATGAACTTGCTGCGTTGCCCTCCGATGACACTAAGCCCATGCTTGTGCTTCTTCACGGTCTGAGTGGTGGCTCCCATGAAGTATACTTGCGGGAAGTCCTAGCACCGCTTATCGAAGATGGCGCGTGGGAAGCATGTGTTGTCAACTCGAGAGGATGCGCGGAGACAAACATCAGTACCGGTGTTCTTTACAATGCCCGAGCTACCTGGGATGTTCGCCAGTCTGTGAAGTGGCTCAGGAAGCAGTTCCCTAATCGCCCTCTGTTTGGAATGGGCTTCTCACTCGGTGCCAACATCCTCACTAATGTATGCCCCCCCCGGGAAAAGCTGACTGTTTATACCCCTCACTGACAACCTTTGTAGTATCTGGGAGAGGAAGGTGATGCCTGTCAATTGAAGGCAGCCGTAATTTGCGCGAGCCCGTGGAACTTGGAGATTAGTTCTACAATGTTACAAAGCACCTGGATTGGGAAGGAGGTGTACAGCAAAACATTGGGGACAAGTATGAAGAAGCTCTTTGAGACGTGAGTATCTGTCTATTCGGATGATGTGAAAAGTTAACTAACCACATGGAAAACAGACATGTCGATCAAGTGTCCACAAACCCTCGTATCGATGTTGATGCGATAAGAAATATTACCTACCTCCATGAGTTCGACCGGTAAGAAGAATTCCTTCTGTCAAAACGAGTACCATTCTAACATGCAACAGAGCTCTGCAATGCCCGACCTGGGGCTACCCCACCGAAGGAGCGTATTACCGTGATTCTACTTCCACCGATTCCATGCTCGCTATCAGGATTCCTTTCCTTTGCATTCAAGCAGAGGATGATCCTGTAAGTTATGAAAGCTTTCCTTGTCAACCATGAACATATCGCTGACTTTGCTAGATTTCTTGCCGAGAGGCTCTGCCCTATCAGGAAATGACCCGAACACCATACGGAGTCATGTTGACTACATCGTGGGGTGGCCATCTTGGCTGGTTCGAGCTCGGAGGATCTAGGTGGTTTGTCAAGCCGGTATGTCTTTCCCAATTAACCATTGGCATCAAATACTAACTTTCCTTCAGGTGGGAAACTTCTTGAACAAAATGGCAAGGGAAATCGACACTAATATCCCTGGTGTTGTCGAACATCCTGAAAGACTGCCTGGAAGCATTGCCAGCCATCCTGGCGCCAACAAAGAGCCCGACCTGGCACCTAAGCCTGAATTCGTCCCGATGCGCCGCAAGCTCGCACTACCTTTGGGGCTGTAATCTGCCCTCAACCATTCCGGCCTCCTAACTAACTGCTAATAATCATGTTCGAAAGCGAGGCCATTCATGGTTTACAATGGTGAACCATTTTCGGGTTATCTCTGGTTTTATTTTTGCATAAATGATGTTTCTGTTCCGATAGACATAGATTGATAAACCGGTGAAAACGCCGAACCCCGACATCTAAATACATAATCAAAGTATAGACACAAATATTCAGACTTTTTTTTTTCAAGCAAATGCAACGCTCTTCTTCTTCGATCGCCCGGGCTTAGAGATACTATCCTTGATACTCGTGGGATCCGCAGCCTTGTCACCACCCTTGCCCTTCTTCTTTTGACGGATGGAATCCTTGACATCGTCGAACTTGTTCTTCCTTTCCTTCATGCGGCTCTCGGCCTCGGCCCTCTTTGCCTCACGGATCTCTTCTAATTGACGTGCCTTCATCATCTTGGACTCGATCTGGCCCTCCTTCTCGGCGTTCACCATGGCGAGAATTGTCCTCATGCCCTCCTATAGGTGATAGTATTAGTACCAGGTTTCCATAAAATGCAATCAATTTAACAGAACTTGGGAGATCAAACGTACCGAATCATCGACAAAAGTTTTGCCCTTCTTCTTGCCCTTGGGCTTGATCACTCCAACAGGTGTGATTTGGTTCAATTCGGGCAGATCAAGCTCCTTCTCGGTGTATACTCTCTTCTTCTTTTTCTTCAAGTTCTCGTTGGCAGTCCGGGGCTTGGTCTTCTGTTCCTTGGGCGGGGGACGCTTGGGACCATCTTTCTTGGCCGATTTGCTGACGCGCGAGGCAGAAGACAGGGCGGAAGGCTTGCTGCCTTTTGCGCCTCCTTTGGCGCCTCCCTTTGCACCTCCAACGTTAGGAGCCATTTCGTAGTCGAGGAATTGAACGGATGATTAAGTTGAGACAAGGCGGACGGAGAGAGAAAAGCAAAGATTGATAGGGTGACGAGAAATGAGTGGTAATGACTTCGAAAACCCAAGACGAATCGAATAACCCTGCAATAGAATCACAGATATCGAAAAAGATTCGACGGGAATAAAAAACAAGAGCAGAGAAACGTCGCGCAAGACGGTTCGATAATCCCCAAATTCGCAAAGATTTTTTTTTGAAAAGGCAGGCGGTGAGCCGGTCCCATTCCACCACCAACCTCAGATCGAAACCTCCACCTTCATAGCTCAGGAACCCACGTTCAATTCTCTCCCCGTCTTCCTACACTCAGTGATTGAACCACACTGGATTGAGTGGGCACTCAACTCTCCTCCAAAATGACTATCAACCCTACCTACCTGGCGCAGCGCACGCGCTCCTGTACGTCCCTTCCACGCCCGATGCGTTCCGCCGTCCACCCGGCGGGATCGTCAATGGAGTCTATCATACCCGCGAAAAAGTGCTAATATACCTGTTTGTTTTTAGCTGTCAACTGGGGCGATGCGAAATACCGAGTCCTGAAGACGTACCGTGAATGGCTCCGCGCGGTCAGTTTACCCCGAGATCCCAGCCCGATACACCTTCTCCCTTGATATATTCTGTTCCTCTATTCCAGACGGATATCGCAGGAGTGGATTGTTTAGAGGCTGTTTTTTTCTCTATGGCTTAAAAGGCTACAATTTGACCCCGCGGCGGACTCAGCTAACGTGATATCACCAAATATAGTCCCCAGAGATCCAGACCATGTACTCCCTGGGCATGCCCGTATCCGCCATCCGCACCAAGATCCGCCAGGAATTCGAGAAGCACCGCTACGTCAGCCAATTGCCTGTTGTGGATGTGCTGTTGTACCAGAGCCACGCCGAGTTCCAGGTTAGTCCAGTCCACCTTTTCTGCCTGGGATATATGACATGTCTCTTTCGACGTGCGGATCTTTCAAGAAGACCATTACGAGAAGCAACTGCTGCTTCTTCTTTGTCTCTATTGGATTGCCCATTGTCGCAGTCACTCCACAATTCCAGGATCAAATACTGACATCATTTCAATGCAGGAAACCCTTAACTACTGGAAGCAGCTTTCTCATGTTATGAAGTACTTCCGCCCAGAAGAAGACCCTGGCGCGCGGCTACCCCGCAACTTCGTCTCTGGTTTCCTCGAGGGTCGCAATTAAAACTCTCTTTCTGCTCCTTTCTCTCCCATTTCCTATCCT